TCACCATGTTGACCAGGATGGTCTCGATCTCTTGACCTCGTGATCCACCCGCCTCGGCCTCCCAAAGTGCTGGGATTACAGGCTTGAGCCACCTCGCCCGGCTGTTTTATTTTATTTTTTATTTATTTTTTTGATGGAGTCTCACTCTTGTTGCCCAGGCTGGAGGGCAGTGGTGCAATCCTTAGCTCACTGCAACCTCCATCTCCTGGGTTCAAGTGATTCTCATGTCTCAGCCTCCCAAGTAGCTGTGATTACAGATGTGCACTGTCACAGCCTGCTAATTTTTGTATTTTTAGTAGAGACAGCGTTTCCCTATGTTGGCCTGGCTGATCTTCAACTTCTGACCCCTGGAGATCAGCCCGCCTCGGCCTCCCAAAGTGCTGGGATTACAGGCATGAGCCACTGCGCCCGGCCTACAACACTATTTTTTAATTCTCTGAATCTTAAGGAATCATGGAACCTGAGAGGGTGCTCTTGGGGATCCCTCACTGGCAGAGTCCGTCCCGGGGGGACAAGGCAGGGAAGGGAAGTTAAGCCAGAGAGGATAGTAAGAGCAAAACACACAAAAGTTTGAAAATGCCCAGTAATCCTGCAGAATCAATATCACTTGTATTTTATAAACCTGTCTCCCGACTGCCGTGGTGATATTTTGTTCATGGTGGGTATTTTTGGCATTAATTTTGATCTGCTAACACATTGTGCTACCTCATATATTGCTCCAGAGATGAGTGCCCTGAATGACCCTTAGTTTCATTTCACAGACCATGCGGCTGGTGCCCCGAGAGGGAGCCCCCCTGCTTAAGTCCTCCAGGAGGGCGATGGAGGAGCCAGCCTCATGGATGCCAAGGTATGCCTTTGTTCTCTCTGCCTCCAGCAGCGGTTTGCTACAGCTGTGAAGACGCTGGGCAGGATTGGGGTCACCAGGGCATTTTCAGTAATGTTAGATCATGGCTGGCAGTGGAGGCTCATGCCTGTAATACCAGCACTTTGGGAGGCTCAGGGGGGGGGATGGCTTCCTGCCAGAAACCTGCCAAGTTCCAGCCTTGAACTCAACACAGCAAGACCCCATCTCTACCAAAAAAATTTTATTTTTTTTGAGACTTGAGTTTCGCTCTTGTTACCCAGGCTGGAGTGCAATGGCGCGATCTCGGCTCACCGCAACCTCCGCCTCCTGGGTTCAGGCAATTCTCCTGCCTCAGCCTCCTGAGTAGCTGGGATTACAGGCACGCGCCACCATGCCCAGCTAATGTTTTGTATTTTTAGTAGAGACGGGGTTTCACCATGTTGACCAGGATGGTCTCGATCTCTTGACCTCGTGATTCACCTGCCTCGGCCTCCCAAAGTGCTGGGATTACAGGCATGAGCCACCGCGCCCGGCCCAAAAAAAATTTTTTTTTTGAGATGAAGTTTTGCTCTTGTTGCCCAGGCTGGAGTGTAATGTGCAATCTAGGCTCACTGCAACCTCTGCCTCCCAGGTTCAAGTAATTCTCCTGCCGCAGCTTCCCAAGTAGCTGGGATTACAGGTGCCTGCCACCACACCCAGCTAATTTTTTGTATTTTTAGTTTCACCATGTTGGCCAGGCTGGTCTTGAACTCCTGACCACAAGTGATCCGTCCACCTTGTCCTCCCAAAGTGGGATTACAGGCACATGATCAAAGCTCACAGCAGCCTTGAACTCTTGCGCTCATGCAATTCTCTCCTCTCAGCCACCCAAGTAGCTGGGACAACAGGCGTGCACCACCACGCCATGGCTATATTTTTTTATAAACTTTTTTTTTTGCAGAGATGAGGTCTCACTATGTTTGTTGCCCAGGCTGGTCTTGAACTCCTGGCTCAAGTGATCCTCCCTGGCCTCTTGAATAGCTGGGATGACTGGCACAAGCCACTGTGCCCAGCTAGTAGAGTTGATTTAAAACTAGTTTCTTTTTTTTTTTCCTTTTGAGATGGAATCTCGCTCCATCACCAGGCTGGAGTGCAGTGGCGCGATCTCAGTTTACTGCAACCTCCACCTCCTGAGTTCAAGTGATTCTCCTGCCTCAGCCTCCCAGGTAGCTGGGACTACAGGCCTGTGCCACCACCATGCCCGGCTAATTTTTGTATTTTTCATAGAGATGGGGTTTTATCATGTTGGCCAGGCTGCTCTTGAACTCCTGACCTCAGGTGATCCATCCACTGGGGCCTCCCAAAGTGCTGGGATTACAGGCATGAGCCACTGCTCCTGGCCTAAAACTGGTTCCTCAGTTTCTCAACACTGCTGACAGTTGGGGACGGATCACTCAGCAGCGGCTTGTTGGGCATTGTCAGATGTTGAATAGCATCCCTGGTCTCCACCCAGATGACGCCAGTAGCATCTCCCACTCATGGCAACTGAAAAGGTCCCCAGACATTGCCAGTGTTCCCTGGGGGCTAAGTGGTCCCCAGGTGAGAACTGCTGTTTGAAATAGTACCGGTGGTGCTTCGACGCGGAAGGAGTTTGCCTCGTGGGAGGGGGTGGTCCTTAAGGGCAGGATAGGGTGGGAGTGTCATCAAGCGTTTGTCTTTCTTGCCTGGGCCGTGGGGCTGGGCATGGCTCCCAGCGTCTCCTCTGCACACCTGGGCTCAGGCTCAACTTACATGGGTAGGCCCCAGGGGACCCAGGTGTTCTAGAGGTTGGCTGGTCCCCAGGCCCCAATGCCTAGCACTGGGAAACCACAGTTGCTGTGGCGACCACTGAACTCTCAGGACAAGGTGCTGGGAAGAGGACTCCCGTGACTAGAGGAGCCAATATCCAGAGGGCTTGGTGGGGAGGCCGCTGTCCAATACCCTTCATGAGTGCTTGCAGACCCGGGAAAGCAGTGGAGAGGAGCTGGTTGAGCTCCCCAGAGGCGCTGGAGGTGGTGGGGGCTGTGGGTCACTAGGGGAGCCTCAGAAGGTGAAATGGGAGCCCTGCTCCTGATGGCCCTGCCTGGCTGGACTCCTAGGCTGCTGGTGTGAGGTCTCTGAACCCCAGACCCTTTCCAGGGGAAGGGTCATTTCGGTGGGTGGGCAGCAATGAGCGTGGGCCCCCTCAGCCCGAGTACCCGCCGGCGGCTTCTCCAGGGTGAAGCCAGCCCCCTCCCAGCACCTCTGCCCAGCAGTGTGGCCATCTTCATCAGCTCCACGGCCTCAGGTAAGGTGCAGGGTACGGATGGGGGCTCAGAGGCAAGTGGGCACTCCCTTCAAGCGGTGTCAGGGCTTGGGCACGGTTCCTGGAGTCCTTTAAGAGACCTAGATGCGAACCAGGTGCCGTGGCTCACACCTGTAATCTCAGCCCTTTGGGAGGCTGACACGGGTGGATCACTTGAGGTCAGGGGTTTCTGATTAGCCTGGGCAGCATGGCAAAACCCCGTCTCTACTAAAAACACAAAAAATTAGCTGGGCCTGGTGGTGCGTGACTGTAGTCCCAGTTACTGGGGTGACTGAGGCAGGAGAATTGTTTGAACCCAGGAGGTGGAGGTTGTAGTGAGCAAAGATTGTGCCACTGCACTCCAGCCTGGGCAACAGAGCAAGACTCCGTCTCAAAAAAACAAAGAAAAAACCAAAAAGGAGAGATTAGCTAATAGGGTGGTGCTACACAGCACTGCCCAACTCCACAATCAGAGAAGTCAGTTGGCAGCTTGAAACTGACCAGGGTGGAGTATTTACACCAGGAAAGTGGCAGATAAATACAAACCGGATTTTTAAAAATTTGTTTTGGTGAACAGAGCATTATGGAGCATTTGCCGGGACATTTGTTTTGTTTTGTTTTTTGAGGCAGGATCTCTCTCTGTCGCCCAGGCTGGAGTGCAGTTGTGCGATCTCAGCTCACTGCAACCTCCGCCTCCCAGGTTCAAGCAATTCTCCTGCCTCAGCCTCCCGGTAAGCTGGGATTAAAGGCACCTGCCACCATGCCTGGCTAATTTTTGTATTTTTAGTAGAGACAGGATTTCACCATGTTGAGTAGGCTGGTGTCAAACACCTGATCTCAGGTGATCTGCCCGCCTTGGCCTTTCAAAGTGCTAAAATTACAGGTGTGAGCCACTGCGGCCGGCCACACTGCTGTATTTATATGTGCTCTCATAGAGATTACAACCTGGTTGGGGGAAAGGACACATAAATTAAGTAGCTGCAGCTTGTGGGCCAGGTGTGGTGGTTCACACCTGCAATCCCAGAACATTGGGAGGCTGAGGGGGGGAGAACTGGGAGACCTCGATGTGAGTGTAGCCGAGGTAGTGACTCATCTGGGGGCCTCCTGGACCCTCTGTTTCCTCCTTAAGAAGCCCCACTGAGAACACACACTGAGAACCAAACTTGATAGAGTTTCTGTGAGTGGTGTTTGATGTTGCAACTAACATTCATGACCAACAGGCTTAAAAACTGCCAGAATCTTGCCATAGCTGCATGACCTGGGCAATGGGACCCTGCTCACCTCCCCAGCCTTACCTCCTGTGGTCGCCCCCTTGTCCACTTGTTGTATCCACACCAAAACCCACAGATCCAGTAACCCACAAGGCCTGGGCCCCATATCAGGACTGTCACCCTCACAGTTCCCTCTTCTCCTTATTCTGATCCTTTGGGTCTCAGGGCAAACACCCCCCTTCAGGGAGCCCTTCTCTGCCCCTCAATCTAAAATAGATTTGTCCCGCTGAGGTGGGCGGATTGCTTGAACTCAGGAGTTCAAGACCAGCCTGAGTAAGATGGCGAGGCCCCATCTCTACAAAAAGTAAAAAAAAAAAAAGTAGGCTGGGCGCAGTGGCTCATGACTGTAATCCCAGCACTTTGGGAGGCTGAGGCAGGTGGATCACCGGAGGTCAGGAGTTCCAGACTAGCCTGGCCAACATGATGAAACCCCATCTCTACTGAAAATACAAAAGATTAGCTGGGTGTAGTGGTATGTGCCTGTAGTCCTAGCTACTCAGGAGGCTGAGGTGGGAGAATCGCTTGAACCGGGGGGGGCGGAAGTTGCAGTGAGCCAACAGAGTGAGACTCCATCTCAAAAAATATATAAACAAATAAAATAAAATAAATTTTAAAAAATAGGCTGGGTGCGGTAGCCCATGCCTGTAATCCCAGCACTTTGGGAGGCTGAGGCAGGTGGATCACCGGAGGTCAGGAGTTCCAGACTAGCCTGGCCAACATGATGAAACCCCATCTCTGAGGAAAATAGAAAAATTAGCCAGGCGTGGTGGTGTGTGCCTGTAATCCCACCTACTTGGGAAGCTGAAGCAGGAGAATCTCTTGAATCGGGGAGGCGGAGGTTGCAGTGATCCAAGATTTCGCCACTGCACTCCAGCCTGGGTGATGGAGCAAGACTCTATCTCAAAGAAATAAAAAATAAAAGAAATAAAGTAGATTTGTCCATGGTATTCTCCAGTCCAGCCCACCCACGTGTTTTCCACGGGATTCTTCACAAACCACCCACGTGTTTTCCACGGGATTCTTCACAAACTGCAATTACTTTTAAAAATTATTGATTGATTGATTGTGCCTCGTGGTTAAGCCTAAGGGGCGCCCTGGCAAACAAGATGTAACCCGCTGGGCATGGTGGCTCACTCCTGCAATCCCAGTGCTTTGGGAGGCCAAAGTAAGAGGATTGCTTGAGCCTAGGAGTCCGAGACCAGCCTGAGAAACATGGTGAAACTCCTTCTCTACAAAAAATTTTTAAAAATTATAGGGATGTGGTGGTGCGTGCCTGTAATCCCAGCTACTTGGGAGGCTGAGGTGGGAGGATTGATCGATGCTAGGAGTTTGAGGTTACAGTGAGCTGTGATCGCACCACTGCACTCCAGCCTGGGTGAGGGAGTGAGACCTGTTCCTTAACAATTTTTTTTTTTTTTTTAAACAGGGTCTCACTCTGTTGCCAGGCTGGAGTACAGTGGCGCGATCTCGGCTCACTGTAACCACCTCCCAGATTCAAGCAATTCTCTTGCCTCAGCCTCCCCAGCAGCTTGGACTACAGGCATGCACCACCATGCCCAGCTAATTTTTGTATTTTTTAAAGTAGAGATGGGATTTCACCATGTTGGCCAGAATGGTCTTAATCTCTTGACCTTGTGATCCACCCACCTCGGCCTCCCAAAGTGTTGGGATTACAGGTGTGTGCCACTGTGCCCGGCCCAAAATATATATATTTTTTCCATTAGCAAATCAGTGGTATAGCAGCAAAATATTTTTTAAAATATATATAGCACTGGGTATAGTGTCTCATGCCTGTAATCTCAAAACTTTGGAAGGCTGAGACAGGAAGATGGCTTGAATTCAGGAGTTCAAGACCAGCCTGGGCAACATAGGGAGACCCCCACAACATAAATAACTACCTATTGTGAATTTTTTCTTTTTTTTTTTTTTTTGAGATGGTGGCAGCAGATGAGGCTTTAGTCATAGGCCAGGCGCAGTGGCTCAAGTCTGTAACCCCAGCACTTTGGGAGGCAGGGGATGGAGGATCGCTTGAGACCAGGAACTCGAGACCAGCCTGGGCAACATAGCGAGACCCCATTCTCCACAAAAAGGGGGAAAAAGTCAAAAGTAAATAAATAAAAGCAGAGCTGTGCAGCTGGGAAGAGCACTGGGCCCTTTCCACTAACACCCTCCATGCCCTTCCTTGCAGATATGGACGCAGAGAGGGAAGCCCTGCAGAGCACCGCCTACCTGGAAGTGCAGACCTTCTGCCAGAAGCATGGCTTGATGTTGGAGGTAACCAGAAGTCACCCCGGGCTTCATGCTTTTCTTTTTTTTTGAGATGGAGTCTCACTCTGTCACCCAGGCGGGAGTGCAATGGCACAATCTCGGCTCACTGCAACCTCCATCTCCGGGTTTAAGCAATTCTCCTGCCTCAGCCTCCCGAGTAGCTGGGACTACAGGCATGTGCCACCATGCCCAGCTAATTTTTTGTATTTTTAGTAGACATGGGGTTTCACTGTGTTAGCCAGGATGATCTCAATCTCCTGACCTCGTGATCCTCCTGCCTTGGCTTCCCAAAGTGCTGAGCAACCTTTTTTTTTTTGAGACAGTCTTGCCTGTCGCCCAGACTGGAGTGCAGTGGCATGATCTCAGCTCACTGCAAACTCCACCTCCCAGGTTCAAGCGATTCTCCTGCCTCAGCCTCCTAAGTGGGACTACAGGTGCCCGCCACCACACCCAGCTAATTTTTTGTATTTTTAGTAGAGATGGAGTTTTGCCGTGTTAGCCAGGATGGTCTTGATCTCCTGACCTTGTGATCCACCTGCCTTGGCCTCCCAAAGTGCTGGATTACAGTCGTGAGCCACCACACCTTTTTTTCTTTTCTTTTTGAGATGAATTCTCACTCTTTTGTCCAGGCTGGAGTGCAGTGATGCCAACTTGGCTCACTGCAACCTCTGCCTCCTGGGTTCGAGCAATTCTCCTGCCTCAGTCTCTCAAGTAGCTGGGACTACAGGTGGCGCCACCACGCCCGGCCATCCATGCTCTTTTAATGCTTTACTGTTGAGTCTTGAAATTCACAATAACTTTTAAACAAGAGGCCAACATGTTCTTTTTGCACCAAGCCCTGCAGATTCTTAGTTGGTCCTGGAGATCCAGCTGCGGAGATAAAATTCCTTGGGATTATAAAAAGGCATGTGGGACAGGGTGCGGTGGCTGACACCTGTAATCCCAGCACTTTGGGAGACCGAGGCGGTCAGTTCACTTGAGGTCAGGAGACCAGCCTAGGCAACATGGTGAAACCCCGACTCTACTAAAAATACAAAAATTAGCTGGGTGTGGTGGCTCATGCCTATAGTCTGGTGACAGAGCAAGACCTCATCTCAAAAAAAAAAAAAAAAATGCAGTGGTGTGATTACAGCTCACTGCAACCTTGACTTTCTGGGCTCAAGGGATTCTCCTGCGTCTAGCTTCCTGAGGAGCTGAAACTACAGGCGTACACCACCATGTCTGAGTAACGGAGGATGTTCCTGCCTGCACATATCCTTGTGGAAACTGATGAACCATCTCTGGAGTCTCAGTTTAACTTGAAGCTGCCTCCTTGTTATTTATGTGAACGATTCATCGCACCAAAGTTCCACTTGGTTAAAAGACGAGGCCGGGCACGGTGGCTCACACCTGTATTCCCAGTGCTTTGGGAGGCCAAGGCAGGAGGACTGTTGGAGGCCAGGAGTTTGATACCAGCCTGGGCAACATAATAAGATTCCATCACTATAATTTTTTTTTTTTTAATGAGCTGGGTGTGGTGACGCCCACATGTAGTCTCAGCTACTGGGGAGGCTGAGGTGGGAGGATCATTTGAGCCCAGGAGTTTGAGGCTGCAGTGAGCTGTGATCAAGCCACTGCACTCCAGCCTGGGTGCTGGCGTTGGATGCTGTCTTTAAAAAGGAAAATCTGGGCCAGGCACAGTGGCTTACGCCTGTAATCCCGACACTTTGGGAGGCCAAGATGGGTGGATCACCTGAGGTCAGGAGTTTGAGACCAGACTGGCTAACGTGGTGAAACTCCGCCTCCACTAAAAATACAAAAATTAGCCAGGTGTGGTGGTGAGCACATGCAATCCCAGTTGCTTGGGAGACTGAGGCAGGAGAAGCGATCGAACCCAGGAGGCGGAGGTTGCGATGAGTCGAGATCATGCCACTGTACTCCAGCCTGGGCAACAGAGCAAGACTCCTGTCTCCAAAAAAAAAAAAAAAAAAAAAAAAAAAAAAAAAAAAAAAAAAAAAAAAAAAAAAAAAAAAAAAAAAAAAAAAAAAAAAGTAGTGTACCTTTGGGTAAAAAAGAAAAGGAAAGTATACGTGATCATTATGTTTTATACATTTGTTACTGAGAAAGAAGCAGTGCTGGGAATTGCACTTTGCCCACTATTGATCATGAGACATAGTTCAATGCCAGAGGCACTATGAAAGCGTCAGCACTGAGGACTGATGAAATGCCTCGAGCTCTTCTGTTTAATGCCCACGCCCGTGCTCTGACGCAGACACTGTCAACATCCTCCACGCGCACGTGGGGAGACGGTGATCCTTCCGGAGGCTGGTTCCTGACCCCTTTTCCTTTCCTGCTCCTGTAACTCATCGTTCCTCCTCTTCTTCCTGCAGTCACATTCAGTACTGCTGGCCTCTCACTGCTTGTCATAGGAATCTATGTGTCCTCCTCTCGGGGCTACAGAATTCAGGGGCAGGGACTGTTCCGAGTCGTCTTTGTCTCCCTGTCACCCCAGCCTTCCGCAGGGTCAGCTTTGCCCACTTGAACTGAGCCGTTCTGCCCAGCCTCCCCCTGGCGAGCGGGCGAAAATGAACCACAAGTGTGCGGTTGCCAAGGAGACTTTGCTATGTCCAGCTTTGGCCGAACTAAACACCCTCCTTTGCAAGGAAAGCTCTGTGAACAAGTGTGGGCACGTCTTTGCTTTCAAAGCAACAGTTTGAAAATGGCCAAGTTCCTTTTTAAAAAAAGCTTTTGTTTTGTTTTGTTTTGTTTTTTGAGACAGAGTTTCACTCTTGTTGCCCAGGCTGGAGTGCAGTGGCACAATCTTGTCTCACCACAACCTCTGCCTCCTGGGTTCAAGCCATTCTCCTGCCTCAGCCTCCCAAATAGCTGGAACTACGGGCATGCACCACCATACCCAGCTAATTTTGTATTTTTAGTAGAGACAGGATTTCTCCATGTTGACCAGGCTGGTCTCAAACTCCTGACCTCAGGTGATCTGCCCGCCTCAGCCTCCCAAAGTGCTGGGATTACAGGCGTAAGCCACCACACCCGACCTCTTTTTTTCTTTTATTATGCTTTGCTTTTCCTTTTTTTCTTGCAACAGGGGCTCACTCTGTCACCCAGGCTGGAGTGCAGGGGTGTAATCACAGCTCACTGCAGCTTCTGCTTCCTGGGCTCAGATGATCCTCCTGCCTCAGCTTCTCAAGTATCTGGGACTACAGGCACACACCACCACACCTGGCTTATTATTATTATTATTATTATTATTATTGTAGAGGCAAGGTCTCCCTGTATTGTCCAGGCTGGTCTCAAACGCCCAGCCTTGAGAGATCCTCCTGCCTTGGCCTCCCATACGGCTGTGATTATAGGCATGAGCCACTTCTCCCTGCGTCTATTTTAATTTTTAATTCACTTACTTTTTAATTTTTATTTTTTTTAGAGATGAGGTCTTGCTATGTTGCCCAACCTAGTCTTGAACTCCTGGGCTCAAGCAATCCTTGTGCCTCAGCCTCCAGAGTAGCTGGGATTACAGGCGCACACTGCCCCCCTCCAACAATTTTTTTTTTTTAGAGACAGGGTCTTGCTATGTTGCCCAGGCTGGAGTGCAGTGGCTGTTCACAGGTGCGATCCCACTACTGATCAGCGTGGGAGCTTTGACCTGCTCTGTTTCCAACCTGGGCCAGTTCACCCCTCCTTAGGCAATCTGGTGGTCCCCCGCTCCCGGGAGGTCACCATATTGATGCCGAACTTCATGCGGACACCCAATCGGCATAACATACTACAGCCCAGAACTCCTGGGCTCAAGTGATCCTCCCACCTCAGCCTCCCAAATAGCTGGGACTACAGGCACGTGCCACCGCACCTGGCCCAACTAAATGTTTATAAATAAACTTCTGAATTTGGAGTTTAGGCTTACAGGAAACACACAGACAGTACAGAGTTCCCATACACCCCCACACTCTGTGTCTCATAACGTTTTTCCTAACCACAGCACAATCGACTACGTTGTTTCAACTATGACATCAACTTTGAGACCAGGTGCAGTGGCTCACGCCTGTCATCCCAGCATTTTGGGAGGCGGAGGCAGGCAGATCACTTGAGATCAGGAGTTTGAGACCAGCCTGGCCAACATGGTGAAAATTTATCTCCACTAAAAATACAAAAAAAATTAGCCAGGTGTGGTGGTGCACACCTGTAATCCCAGCTACTTGGGAGGCTGAGGCAGAAGAATCGCTTGAGCCCAGGAAGTTGTGGTTGCAGTGTGCTGAGATTGCACCACTAAGCTCCAGCCTGGGCAACAGAGCAAGACTCCATCTCAAAAGAAAAGAAATTAGGCTGGGGGCAGTGGCTCACACCTGTAATCCCAACACTTTGGGAGGTCAAGGTGGGGGATCACCTGAAGTCAGGAGTTCGAGAGGACCAGTCTGGTCAATACGGTGAAATCCCGTCTCTACTAAAAATACAAAAAATTAGCCAGGCATGGTGGTATGCTCCTGCAGTCCCACCTACTCAGGAGGCTGAGGCATGAGAATCTCTTGAACCTGGGAGGCAGAAGTTGAAGTGAGCCAAAATTGCGCCACAGGAAGGAACGAAGGAATGGAGGTGGGGAGGGAAGTATTGATCTTCCAGTGAGCTGAGATTGTGCCACTGCACTCCAGCCTGGGCAGCAGAGCAAGATTCCATCTAAAAAAAAAAAAAAAAGAGAAATCAACATTGGTACATGACTATTAACCCCTCCCTGACTTAATTCAAATGTTGCCAGCTCTTCCATCCAAGTCTTTCCTCGTGGAGAATCCCGTCCAGGGCACCCCATTGCATTTCATTGTCTTATTGCCCCAGTCTCCTCTGGTCTGCATCAATTTCTCAGTCTCCTTATTTCTCATGACCTTGGCAATCTTTTCTCTCCCTCCCTCCCTCCCTCCCTTCCTTTCCTCCCTCCCTTCCTCCCTCCCTCCCTCTCTTTCTTTCCTTTTTTTCTTTTATTTCTTCTCTCTCTCCCTCTCTCTCCCTCTCTCTCCCTCTCCCCCTCCCTCCCTCCCTCCCCCTTCCTCCTTTCCTTTCCTTTCCTTTTGACAGGGTCTGGCTCCTGGACAGTTGTCCAGGTTGGAGTGCAGTAGTACAATATCAGTCAATAAATCACGACAACCTCTGGGCCCAGTTGCTCCTCCTACCTCAGCTTCCCAAATAGCCGGAACTATAGGTACCCACCACCATGCCTGGCTTTGACAGGCAGGATACCTTAAAGAATGTCCTTCCCTCCAGTCTGGGTCTGTCTGTCATTTATCTCATGATTATATTCATTTCTCATTTCTCATGGTTACGGGTTTGGTTCAAGTTCTTTTAATCCAGACATCCCCCTACAGGAAGAGGCTGCCAAAAATTTTTGAAATAAACTTTCTGCTTTTGTCAAAAGGAATTGAAAACACAAATGACCTGTTATGCCACCTCCCTGACAGACTTGGTGTTTCTAACTTCCAGGTCGTTGATCTGAGATGGGGTATTCGGGACACTGAAGCCACTGACCACTTGACCACAGAACTCTGCTTGGAGGAGGTCGACCGCTGTTGCAAAACATCCATAGGGCCAGCTTTTGTTGTGAGTGTCTCAGGAGGAATGGGTTAGCTCTTACTCCTCCAGGATATGTCCCCTGCTTTCTAGACAAACTGATCAGCAGAGGGAAATAGGTACCATATATATGTGTATATATACACACATATATATGTGTGTATATATATGTGTGTATATATACACACATATATATACATACTTTTTTTGAGACAAGTTCTTGGTATGTTGCCCAGGCTGGTTTTGAACTCCTGGACTCAAGCAATCCTCCAGCCTTAGTCTCTTGGATAGCTGGGATTACAGTTATTCTCTTGTTCTACACTTCTATTGTATGCTGGTGCCACTCTGTTTTATTTATTACTGCTTTAAAATATACTCTAATGTTTGGAAAACTCTACATTCTACTTGTAAATCCCCTAAATTTGCAGTCTCTAAATTTAATTTTTCAAAGGAGCCCAATGATCATTTTGTTGAGTTTCCAAGGAAAAAAAAAAGGGAGAGAGAGACTGCCCATGGTGGTTCATGCCTGTAATCCCAGCACTTCAGGAGGCTGAGGTGAGAGAATCACTTGAGCTCAGGAGTTCAAGACCAGCCTGAGCAGCATAGTGAGACCCCAGGCCTACCAAGATAATTTTTTTTTAAGGAAGAAAGGGAAAAAATGGAGAAAAAGAACTCCAGGGGGAATTTGGTTTTGCAACCCAAATTGCAGGCAGCCGAAAGCACAGTGCAGCTTCCTGGTTGCACGGGGAACCCGAGGGTGCTCTCTGAGCTTCTCTCGGGCCTGACCAACCAGGCCTGGGACCTTCCAGAGAAAGGCCCCATGGCCGGCTGACCTGGACTTACTTCCTGCTTCCCTCTTGAACCAGGCATTACCTCTGTACAGCCCAAGGGCCACGGCATCATTCTGCTCCATGACTGTGACTTGCAGGGGGACTTGCAGAAAAATCAGAGATGTACCGGAGGCCCTTGGAGAGGTGTCTCTCTGGTAAATAAGTCATTAGGCAGCACTGAGGCCGGGGACAGCTCCCTAAGGTACTTCCTTTTAGAGAGGCTCCGGTCTCTTGGGCCATCAACAGCCCCAGTGTCTCCAGAGCTCTGAGAGTTGTTCCTGGTGGGAATTCTTTCTATTTCCCTTGCTTTGATCCCACAGACTGGAAGAGTTTGTTTTGTTCACCACCCGTTTCCTTCGTATAACCTCTGGTTTGTGGTTGGTTTGTGTCTTAGTCTATTTTCTGTTGCTTATAACAGAATCCCTGAAACTGACTAGTTATAAAGAAATGAGGCCAGATACTGTGGATCATACATGTAATCCTAGCGCTTAGGGAGTCTGAAGCCAGAGGATCGTGTGATCCCAGGAGTTCAAGAGCAGGCTGGGCAACGTAGCAAGACCCCATCTCTACAAAAGAATAAAACAGTTAGCCGGAGTGGTGGCTCATGCTGGTAGTCCTAGCTGCTCAAGAGGCTGAGGTGGGAAGATCCCTTGAGCCCGGGGGTTCCAGGCTGCAGTGAGGTATGATTGCACTGTGGCACTCTGGCCTGGGTGACAGAGGAAGAGTGTGTCTCTTAAGAAAAAAAGAAGAAAGAATAGAAAAGAAATTACTATTATTTTTATTTTTGAGATGGAGTTGCTCTGTTGCCCAGGCTGGATTGCAGTGGCACGACCTCTGCTCACTGCAACCTCTGCCTCCCGGGTTCACGCAATTTCCAGCGAATTTTTGTATTTTTAGTAGAGACGGGGTTTCATCATGCTTGCTGGGCTGTTCTCAAACTCCTGGCTTCAAGTGATCCACCTACTCGGCCTCCCAAAGTGCTAAGATTACAGGTATGAGACACTGTGCCCAGCCAGAAATTCATTTCTGAGGTTTCTGGAGGCTGGGCAGTCCAAGGTCAAGGGGCTGCATCTGGTGACAGCCTTCTTGCTACTGGGGTCTCACGGAATCCTGAGGTGGTGCAGGGTATCATGTGGCGAGAGGGCTGAGTGTGCCATCTCAAGTCTCAGCCTCTCCACCTGTTCTTATACAGCCACAAGTCACATTCTCATGATAACCCTTTCATCCATCCATTCATCCATTCATCCAGGAGTGGGTTAATCCATTCATGACGGCAGAGCCTCATGACCCAGTCACCTCTTAAAGGGTCTACCTCTCAATACTACCACATTGGGGATTAAGTTTCAACAGGAGTTTTGGTTGAGGGGGGACAAATATTCAAACTGTACCACCTGGCTATGACTTTTCCAACTTCTCTTGTTCATACGAGGCTGTTATTGCTGGAAAGCTCCCTGGAGCACAGCGTCTTCTTCAACATCCTGTCATCACTGATTCCGTTTATCCGGGTTTCCTCCATGCGTGCCCCTGGAGTATTCTGGTACAACTCAACAAAGTGTGGAGGGGTGATTGCTTCTATTTCTTTTTTTGTTCTTTTTTTTTTGTTTGTTTTGAAACAGAATCTTGCTTTGTCACCCAGGCTGGAATGCAGTGGCACAATCTCAGCTCACTGCAACCTCCACCTCCCGGGTTCAAGTGATTCTCCTGCCTCAGCCTTCCGAGTAGCTGGGACTACAGGCACGTGCCACCACGCCCAGCTAATCTTTTGCATTTTTAGTAGAGACGGGGTTTCACCATGTTGGCCAGGATGGTCTCGATCTCTTGACCTCATGATCCACCCGCCTCGGCCTCCCAAGGTGCTGGGATTACAGACGTGAGCCACTGCGCCCAGCGATTACTTCTATTTCATCCTGGGAAAACTGGACTTTGGCTTTGGCCTAAAGGGCTAGGTCTCATCCAGCTTAACTTTTTTTTTTTTTTTTTTTTTTTTTTTTTTTTTGTGTTTTTTTTTTTTTTTTTTTTTTTTTTTTTTTTTGAGACGGTGTCTCCCTCTGTCCAGGCTAGAGTGCAGTGGCACGATCTGAGCTCAGTGCAGCCTCAGTCTCCTGAGCTCAAGTGATCTTCCCACCTCAGCCTCCTGAGTGGCTGGGACTACAGCCATGCGCCACCATGCCAAGCTCATTTTTGTATTTTTTTGTAGAGATGGGGGTTTCACCATGTTGCCCAGGGCTGATCTTGAACTCCTAAGCTCAAGTGATCTGCCCATCTTATCCCAAAGTGCTGGGATTACAGGTGTGAGCCACCGTACCTGTCCAGGTGAACTCTTTTGCCTTCCAGTTTGCACCTACTCTGAGTGTGGTCCTGGCACTAAGACCAAAATTTTGGGCTGGGTGCGGTGGCTCACGCCTCTAATCCCAGCACTTTGGAAGGCCGAGGCAGGCAGATCACTTGAGGTCAGGAGTTCAAGACCAGCCTGGTCAACATGGTAAAACCCTGTCACTACAAAAAATGCAAAAAATTAGCTAGGTATGGTGGTGGGCACCTGTCATCACAGTTACTTGGGAGGTTGAGGTAGGAGAATCACTTGAACCCAGGAGGCAGAGGTTGCCGTGAGCCGAGATTGTGCTATTGCACTCCAGCCTGGGTAGCAACAGTAAAACTCTGTCTCAAAATAAAAATAAAATCCTGTGCAGCAGGACAGCCCTGTCTCCTTTCACTGCCCCTCTTCTTTCTAGTGCCTTAGCTGCCTCTGCCCTTCCTACAGCAGCCTGCTCCTTCCTGCCACAGGGCCTTTGCATATGCTGCTTCCCTGCCTGCAAGGTACTCTGCCTGATAAACTCCTTTTCATGTCTTATTCTGCAGCTCAGGTGAATTTCCTTGACTCCCCAGACTATGTGTGACACATGTTGGGGAAAAAAAACAACCATACGCTTTATTTATTTATTTAGAGATGGAATCTCACTCTGTTGCCCAGGCTGGAGTGCAGTGGCATGATCTCAGCTCACTGCAGCCTCCCGGGTTCTAGCGATTCTCCTGCCTCGGCCTCCCAGGTAGCTGGCATAACAGGCACACGCCACCATACCTGGCTAATTTTTGTATTTTTAGTAGAGATGGCATTTCACCATGTTGGCCAGGCTGGTCTCGAACTCCTGACCTCAGGTGATCTGCCCACCTCAGCCTCCCAATGTGCTGGGATTACAGGTATGAGCCACTGTGCCCAGCCAATACACATTTATTTAATGCAAGTATTTTACATGGCACAAGAACCATCACAAGGAAATAAGGACCCACAAAAGCAGTTGGAGTCATTTACTTATGTATTGAGTTGGACAAAGAATAGTCAATTGTGGCTGGGCACAGTGGCCTATAATCCCAGCACTTTGGGAGGCTGAGATAGGATGATCACTTGAGCCCGGGATTTCAATACCAGCCTGGGTAATGTAGGGAGACCCTGTCTGTACCAAAAATAAAATCTTAAAAATTAGCCAGGTGTGTGGGCACGTGATTGTGGTCCCAGCTACTCAGGAGGCTGAGGTGGGAGGATCACTTAAACCCAGGAGGTCAGCTGGGTGCGGTGGCCCATGCCTGGGCTGAGGCGGGTGGATTATGAGTTCAGGAGTTCAAGACCAGCCTGGCCAGGATGGTGAAACTCCGTTTCTACTAAAAATACAAAAATTAGCTGAGAGTGGTTGTGGGTACCTGTAATCCCAGCTACTCGGGAGGCTGCGACAGGAGAATTACTTGAACCCAGGAGACAGAGGTTGCAGTGAGCCAAGATTGCACCACTGCACTCCAGCCTGGGTGGCAGAGTGAGACTCCATTAAAACAAACAAACAAACAAACAAACAAAAAACCCAGGAGGTCAAGGCTGCAGCGAGTCATGGTCGTACCACTGTGCCTTAGCCTGGGCAACAGAGCAAGACCCTGCTGAGGAAAAAAAGTGAGATTGGAATCTGTGATTTCCTCTCTGCTAGGCCCTCATCGGTGATCAGTACGGCCCCTGTCTGGTTCCCTCGCAGATTGACGAGAAGGAGTGGGAAGTATTGAGGGCCCGGCTGACTGCCAGGCCGAGTGACCTGGAGCTGGTGGCAAGGCACTTCCGGAGGGACGAGAATGCGGTTCCTCCTGCCTACGTCCTGCAGGCACCAGGTACTGGGGAGGCCTGCGAGCCAGAGGAGGCCACCCTAACCTCTGTCCTATGCTCTGGAGCCCAGGAGGCCCGGAGGCTGGGCCTCATCACCCAGCAGCAGTGGCATCGCTACCACCGGTCAGGTGAGGCTGCAGGGACTCCCCCGGAGATCCACGTGAAACTGACCACGTGTTCAGAATTTCCATCTGCTGTTGGCAAAAATGCAACAGTTTGCATTTCTTGCAAATGCCAAACCAATCAACCTCTGGTCCCTTGGCTCTGAAAAAGACTATTTTACTGATCCAAGATAGCTCAGCCACGTTCCTGATCAATCTTGGTCTCAGGATCTGCTTCTCCTCCTCGCTGGCTCTTTCTTCTTGTCTCCCAGGGAGGCTCCTGACATGGGTTGGGGGTGTATTAGTCTATTCTCACACCACCAATAAAGACATACTTGAGGCTGGGTAATTTGTAAGAAAAGAGGTTTAATGGACTCACAGTTCCATATGGCTGGGGAGGCCTCACAATCATGGCAGAAGGTCAAGGAGGAGCAAAGGCATGTCTCACATGGCAGCAGGTAAGACAGAGTGAGAGCCAAGTGAAAGGAGAAACCCCTTATAAAACCATCGGATCTCGTGAGATGTATTCACTACCACGAGAACAGTATGGGGGAAACCGCCCCCATGATTTAATTCTGTCCCACCGGGTCCCACAACACGTGGGAATTATGGGAGCTACAGTTCAAGATGAGATTCGGGTAGGGACACAGACAAGCCATATCAGGGGAAGCAATCCAGGGTGACTACCATCCCAGTTTTCCTGGGATGGAGGGGTTCCTAGGATGCAGAATTTGTAGTACCAAATCTAGCAGGCTGGGCCCAGTGGTGCCCACCTGTAATCCCAGCATTTTGGAAGGCCAAGGCAGGAGAATCACTTGAGCCCAGGAGTTCAAGACCAGCCTGGGCAATATAGTGATACCCCATCTCTCTAAAAAAAAAAAAATTGTTTTTAATTTGTCAAACGTAGTGGTGTGCACATGTAGTCCCAGCTACTCAGGAGGCTGAGGCAGGAGGATTGGTTGAGCCCGGGGAGGCAGAGGCTGTGGTGAGCCAAGATCACGCCACTGCACTCCAGCCTGGGTGACAGAGAGAGACTTGTCTCGAAAAACAAAATTAGCTGGGCATGGTGGTGCATGCCTGTAGCCCCAGCTACTCAGGAGGCTGAGATGAAAGGGTCACTTGAGCCCAGGAGTTGGAGGCTGCATTGAGCTATGATCTTGCCACTGTACTCCTGCAAGGGTGACAGATGACACCCTGTCTCTAAATAAATAAATAAATTAGCCGGGTGCAGTGGCTCACACCTGTAATCCCAGCACTTTGGGAGGCTGAGGCGGGCGGATCACGGGTCAGAAGTTTAGAGACCAGCCTGACCAACATGGTTCAACCCTGTCTCTACTGAAAATACAAAAATTAGCTGGGTATGGTGGCACATGGCTGTAATCCCAGCTACTCAGGAGGCTGAAGCAGGAGAATCGCTTGAACTTGGGAGGCGGAGGTTGTGGTGAGCTGAGATTGTGCCATTGCACTCCATCCTGGGCAATAAGAGTGAAACTCTGTCTCAAAAAATTAATTAATAAATTAAATTAAATACAGTCAGCCCTTGAACAACATAGGGTTCAGGGACCCTAACCCCTTGCACAGTCAAAAATCTGTATTACCTTTGCGTTCAGGAGTTCGAGACTAGCCTGGGCAATATGGCAAAACCCCGTCTCTACAAAAAATAAGTTAGCCAGGTGTGACAGCATGTGACTGCCGTCCCAGCTACTGGGGAGACTGAGGTGGGAGGATTGCTTGAGCCCAGGAGTTGGAGGCCGCAGTGAGCCATGATTGTGCCACTGCACTCCGGCCTTAACTACTTAACGACTTACTCCCCCAAAACTTAATAGTCTACTATTGACTGAAAACGCTACTGATAGCATAAATAGTTGATGAGGCATGGTGTCTCATGCCTGTAATCCCAGCACTTTGGGAGGCTGAGGTGGGTAGATTACTTGAGCCCAGAGTTAGAGACCAGTCTGGGCAACACGGCAAAACCCCATCTTTATTTAAAAAAAAATTAAAATTAACTGGGCATGGTGGTGCACACCTGTAGTCCCAGCTACTCAGGAGGGTAAGGTGGGAGGATTGTGTGAGCCCAGGAGGTGGAGGTTGCAATGAGCCCAGATTGCACCACTGCACTCCAGCCTGGGCGACAGAGTGAGACCCTGTAACAAACAAATAACATAAAAAGTTGATGAAGACGTATTTTGTGTGTTCTATCATATCCTGTATTCTTGTTGTTGTTGTTGTTGTTTTTTGAGATGGAGTCTCACTCTGTCATCCAGGCTGGAGTGCAGTGGCATGATCATGGCTCACTGCAACTTCTGCCTCCTGGGCTCAAGCGATTCTCCTGCCTCAGCCTCCCGAGTAGCTGGGATCACAGGCTTGTGCCACCAACCCGGCTAATTTTTTGTATTTTTTAGTAGAGACGGGATTTCACTGCCATAGCCAGGATGGTCTCGATCTCCTGACCTGGTGATCTGCCCACCTTGGCCTCCCAAAGTGCTGGGATTACAGGTGTGAGCCACTGCACCTGGTTCCATATCCTGTATTCTTACAATAAAGTAAGCTAGAGAAAAGAAAACATTATTACAAAAACTGCAAGGAAGAGAAAATATGTTTGCTGTTGATCATGCATAAGCGGATCATCAGTCACAAAGGTCTTCATCCTTGTCATCTGCAAGAGGAGGGGTTGGTCTTGCTGTCTCGGGTGGCAGAGGCAGAATAAACTTCTGTGTAGTTCAAACCCATGTTCGTCAATGGTCAGCTTCATACAATTCAATGGCAATTAGTACATTCGCTGAGTCATGGAACCACCCTCCGTGTCTAGTTCCAAGACATTTTATTTTTATTTATTTAATTTTTGGGGGACAAGATCTTGCTCTGTTGCTCAGGCTGGAGTGCAGTGGCACGATCATGGCTCACTGTAGCCTCCAACTCCTGGGCTCAAGCAATCCTCCCACCTCAGTCTCCCCAGTAGCTGGGACCTCAATCACGCACCATCACGCCCGGCTAACTTATTTTTTGTAGCGACAGGATTTTGCCATGTTGCCCAGGCTGGTCTCGAACTCCTGAGCTCAAGCGATTGTCAGCCTCTGCCTCCCAAAGTGCTGAGGTTACAGGCATGAGCCACTGTGCTTGGGCCTCCAAGACATTTTCATCACCTCAAAAGAAGCTTTACCCGTTACACCCTCCCCGTCTCCCATCTCCCAGCACAGGCAGCCACCACCAATCTATTTTCAGACTCTATGAATTTGCCTGTTCTGGACATTTCATGTCAATGCAATCACACAATGTGGCCTTTTTTTTTTTTTTTTTTTTTTTTTTTTTTTTTTTTTTTTTTTTTTTTTTTTTTTTTTTTTTTTTTTTTTTTNTCTGTCACCTAGTCTGGAGTGCAGTGGCGCAATCTTGGCTCACTGCAACCTCTGCACCTCCCAGGTTCAAGCGATTCTCCTGCCTCAGCCTCCTGAGTAGCTGGGACTACAGGCACACGCCACCACATCCAGTTAATTTTTGTGTTTTTAGTAGAGGCGGGGTTTCACCATGTTGGTCAGACTGGTCTTGAACTCCTGAACTCGTGATCTGCCCACCTCAGCCTTCCAAAGTGCTGAGATTACAGGCGTGAGCCACCACGCCCAGCCCTACTACATGGCCTTTTGTGTCTGGCTTCTCTTATTCAGCATCATATTTTGAGGTTCATCTACATTTTAACACCTACGAGTACTTCATCCATTTCAGTGGCTGAATAGTATCCCACTGTGTGGATGGACCATGTTTTGTTTACCCATTCACCTGTTGATGGATGTTTGTTTTGATTTGTTTTTGAGATGGAGTCTCACTCTGTTGCACAGGCTGAAGTACAGTGCCATGATCTCAGCTCACTGCAGACTCCGCCTCCCAGGTTCAAGAGATTCTCCTGTCTTAGCCTCTTGAGTAGTTGGGATTACAGGCACGTGCCATCATGCTGGGCTAATTTTTGTATTTTTAGTAGGGATGGAGTTTCACCATGTTGGCCAAGCTGGTCTCGAACTCCTGACCTCAGATGATTCACCCTCCTCAGCCTCCCAAAGTGCTGGGATTATGGGCGTGAGATCCTGCGCCTGGTCTGTTATGGATGTTTGGATTGTTTCTGCCTTTTGGCTGTTGAAAATGGTGCTGTATGAGCAAGGGTGTATTAATATTTGTTGGAGTCTCTGTCTTCAGGTCTTTTCAGCAGATACCTAGGAGTGGGATTGCTGGGTGCGATAGTAACCCCATGATTCACTTTCTGAGGATGACAGCATTGTTATACAGTGTGGCTGCTCCTCACATGGAATCTCTGTGTTGCCCGCCCTGAGGGGTCTTTGATTAATAATGCCTAAATCAGGCCGGGTACAGTGGCTCATGCCTATAATCCTAGCACTTTGGGAGGCTGAGGCTGGAGAACCACTTGAGTTCAGGAGTTGGAGACCAGCCTGGGCAACATAGCAAGACCCCGTCTCTACAAAAAAAAATACAAAAATTATCTGGGCGTGGTGGCAGGCACCTGTAATCCCAGCTACTCAGCAGGGGCTGAAGGGGGAGGATCACTTGAGCCTGAGAGGCAAAGTTTGCAGTGAGCTGTGATCGTGCCACTGCACTCCAGCCTGGGAAACAGAGTGAGGTAAGACAGAGTGTCTTAATATTAATAATAATAATAATAATAAATGGCTTAATCAGTGTGACCGTGGCTGGGCTCCATGGCTCACACCTGTAATCCCAGCACTTTGGGAGGCTGAGGCAGGTGGATCACTTGAGGCCAGGAGGTCGAGACCATAATGGCCAATGTGGAGAAACCCCATCTCTACTGAAAATACAAAACTTAGCTGGGTGGGGTGGCGCATGCCTGTAATCCCAGCTACTCAGGAAGCTGAGGCAGGAGAATTGCTTGAACCGGGAGGCGGAGGTTGTGGTGAGTTGAGATCGTGCCATTGCACTCTAACCTGGACAACAAGAGCAAAACTCTG